TGTGTGTGTGTGTGTGTGTGTGTGTACATATTCATATTACTTTTTGAATATCATCAAAAATAGTATAAAGGAACTTACCTACAACAGACATTTCAGGAACAGTGGCTGTATAAATTTCCTCTGGGAATGTAGGCTCATTGTCATTGATATCATGGATTTTTATCACAAATTCAGACTCTGGTTCTACTGGCCTCAAAGTTCTTCTGTTAATAGCTTGTGCACGCAGAGTGTAAAAGGCCTTTTCCTCCCGATCAATTCTTCTTGTGGCGTGGATGTCACCTGTTTTTTCATCAATAATAAAAAGAGTACCAGCTCCATCTCCAGATAAAATATACTTGAGAGATCCATCTCCTTTATCTTGGTCTGAATGAAGCTAGAGGAAATAAAAAAGACAATAATCATGATACTATCTAAAGGTATATAAATACTGGAAGGAGTCAAAGAAGGTCTCTGGATCAATGGAATCCGTTGTCTTTAGTTCTTGAAATGAGACTTGAACAAGTTTGGCTACACTCTTTCATGCATGTTAACTAGTAGTATTTTACATATCAGAATAGCCCATATTCTAAATTTTTTAATAAAAAGCATAAAAAATGAATACATAAACCAAACATAGGCCCCTCAGTCCTTTGTTTGATAAAACAACTATTTTGATGAGCAAATAACTCCTGATAAACACATCAGTCCTTAGTCTTGAAGTCTTGATATTTTTATGTAAAAATTGCTTCTCTCAGCATCTTCCTATGAAAGGAAAATTCTCATATTATACATGAATTCATGTCCTTTAAACTTCTTTGGTATTTTTTATTTCTGTTGGTGAATTAGTGTTACCTTAAGAAATGAAACATCCAAAAGATGTATGGGAAATATTTCCCACAACTGGAAATAAAATGCATTATTCCTTGATCCATACAGTGACAATTTCATGATGTTTGCTGGACTTGCAAAAAGTGTACAAATGTATATCCAAATTGCATATCTACATATTTTAAAGTAATAAATCAAACTAATAAGCTATAAAATAAAAGATGTTCTAGCTTCCTACCTTGTCAAATACATCTTCTGAATAACTGCAGAGGGCAAGCTTCATATAGGAACAAGGCAAAATATGGCAAGACTCTTTCCTGCCCCCTTGTCAGTGTCTACAATACTAGCTTTCCTAAATCACTGCAAAGAACTTTGCATTCATTCATGTGGATGTCTCAGTCCAGTGAATACGCCAGCTCAGTGCAATTCCCAACACATAAGACCACGAATCATGGAAAAATTACATTTATAGTATTTTTCATCAGATGTTAATTTAGACCTAGAGATGCATAAACCAGTGGTTGAATTTGACCTTTGTATAACTGACCTGGGGAAAGATACTTACCCAGAAGAGAGGGACTTCCTACAGGAAGATTTCTGCATGGCATCGTAAGACATAAGGATTACAGTTTTACTATGTTGTTGTTGTGGTTGTCAGGTGCCATCGAGACAGAACTGACTCATAGCAACCCTATGCACAGCAGAACAAAACAATGTCCAATCCACGGCCAACCTCACTACCGCTGCCACACTTAACGCCATCAATGATGCCACCTGGTAGATCCATCTAGTTGGGGGTCTTCCTCTTTTTCTCTGACCCTCCACCTTACCCAGCATGACATCCTTCTCCAGCAACTGTCCCCTTCTGACATTATGTCCAAAGTATGAGAGACGAAGTTTGGCCATCTTGGACTCCAAGGAGCACTCTGACTGCACTTCTTCCAAAACAGATCTATTGGTTCTTTTGGCAGTCCATGGCACTTTCAGTATTCTCCTCCAACACCACAACTCAAAGGCATCAATTCTTCTACGATCCTCCTTATTCACTGTCCAGCTTTCGCATGCATATGAGGTTATTGAAAACACCATGGCTTGAGTCAGGCGCACCTTAGTCCTCAAGCTGACATCTTTACTCTTTAACACTTTAAAAAGGTCTTGTGCAGCAGATTTTCCTAATGTAATATGTCGTTTGATTTCTTGACTGCTGCTTCCATGAGTGTTAATAGTTGATCCAAGAAGAATGCTGGTATTTAAAAGACAGGTGGCATAGCTTCCAGCATCATAGCAACATACACAACACCACAGTACAATACATTGGCAGCTGAGTGGTGGAGTCATATTGTAATGTTAAGAAAAAAAGGTGTGCTTAATATGCAGCTACAATTCAAATATGCATTAAAACAGGTAATCTGACCTACAGCCTAGAAAAGTAAAAATAGGAGACACTGTCCCTGAACTCTACTTAAAAATGCAGGAACTTATATCTGACCTAAATATATTTGATTAATATATCTACATCAAGAAACATACATTAACGGAACAGTAGTATTTTGTATTAATAATGGTTGTTGGGTTTTCAAAAGCACAGTTTACTGCTTGGTTAATTGTCTGTGGCAATTAACATTTAGCAATCAATTAAATAAAACTATTTTTCTGCTATCTAAATAGTAGAAGTAGCCTTTATATTTTTAATGGATTAAGAAAATACCAACAGATAAGTGCTTGGGTAAAAACATCATGCAACAATTTTTTTTTTCTTATTTTTTTATGTAATCAAAATGTACTGTTCAGAAACTGATGATACATCTGCTTTTAATTAAAAATCTCTCAAAAGTAACATATGACTGTTGTGCATAAAAACACCCTAAAAAACTCACAAGGTTGAACAGTTAATAAGGAAAACCATAAAATAATTGATGCATTTGGGTTTTGGTGTTGGAAGAAATTACTCAAAGTACCATGGGCTGCCAAAAGAGCAAATAGTTCTGTGTTGGATGAAGTACAGTTATGAGTTTTCCTAGGAAGTCATGATGATCAGAGTTAGTCTCTCATACTTCGGACACAGTGTAAGGACTGAAACTTTACTTGACCAAACTTTAGCATGGCTTCAAAAATTATCCAAAAGCACCGAGGCCTCTGCTTTTCTATAGCATGACTAAACCCCGCTGCGAGGAAATATACAAGCAAAGACATTTCCCCTAAATGTCATAACAAGTAGGTTAGGCCGCCCTAAAACATCATTGGAAATACCCCACACCTGCAAGAAACTGACAAATTGACCGCCAGAAACAAATCTGCGTAAAGGTCAGAATACTTACTTTATGCCAAAACCAATCAACTTAAAGGTTAATATGTTCACCAATTGCAAAATGCTTATGCACTGTTGCCGAAATCTGCCTTGTGTAACCCTATAAAAAGTAATGAAACAAACAGATAAGGGTCGCCTTCATCTCCTAGTTTCAGGAGTCCTTGTGACGGTTGACCCCAACGCATTGGCAAATAAACCTCTTGCTTTTGCATCAAACTCAAGTCCTGTTGATCTTTTTGGGGTCTCCTACCAGATAAGGCCATCTGGGGCCTAACATCAGTAAGGGCCAGTCATTGGAGAAGGATATCATGTTTGATAAGGTGGAGAGTCAGAGAAAATGAGGAAGACCCCCAGCATCAATGGGCTCAAGTGGATCCACGATAGTGCGGTTGACCCAGGACCTGGCAGTATTTCATTCTGTTGTGTATAGGGTCACTATGAATCGATGACACCTAACAACAACAACAGTAATTGAAACTACATATAGTTTCCAAGAACCAATCTGATTTTGTGAATATGTAATACACTGGCAATTTTCCAAAGACCAGATGTAGGTGTTGTGTATCTTGTTCTGCCTGGGTATCACAATCATTTAAGACAAGTTCACTGATGCTATTTAACAATTTGGTCAGGAAAACATGCCCTTTAGTAGACTGGACATTGATTCTCTATTTATTCAATGTTTTATCAGAAATAATATGTGTTGACTCTCATAAAAACCAGATTATTTCTAAACTAAATATATTTTTTTTCCATTTTAGGTGATAAAAGCTTTGGGGAAAGCATGTCTGTTCAATAGGATACAGTGAGGATTTCCTTAAGCATATGGCATTTAAAATACCAGATAAATGATGAGTAAAGGTCTGCATACTAGAATAAACACTGGTTGAATATAGAGCATCCATATTAGGTAAAGAAGACTGTAAGAAAAGGCTGTAATTATTAAGATGTGTTTTGTGAAGCAAGCAAAAGAGTTGCTAATATTGTGAATTGTATACAATTCCTGGAATAGAAATCACAGTGGAGTTTTTACCTCTATTTCTATTATGTTAATGCTGTTGTTGTTAAGGTCCAATGACTCAGTTCTGACTCATAGGGACCCTGTATAGGTTTTCCAAGGAGCAGCTGGTGAACTTGAACCACTGACCTTGCAGTTCAAACCAACCTTACAGTACAGCACATTAACCCACAGTGCCATACCAGGACTCCATTTGTATTATGTTGTTGTTGTTAAGTGCCATCGAGTTGGTTCTGACCCATAGAGACCTGTATAGGATTTCCAAAGAGCAACTAGTGAGCATGAACCACCAACCACGTGGATCAAACCAACTTTGCAGTCTAGCACATTAACCTACAGCACCACACCAATTATTTTTTTAAAAAAAGAATGACATGCTGTTGGGAGTTTCTGTCAGATTAGAAAATTGAGCATGGTAGTAGTTAGTAGAATATCGAATGGATGAGGCTTGAAAATTTGTCCATGACTTTGAGAGCCAGAAAATGAAACTAAATAAATAAATAAAAATTCTACCTTTTCCAAATGGGACTAAACCTAAAAGAACCTTATGAAACCCATAAGGAGCTCTGGTAGTGCAGTAGTTAAAAGATGGGCTGCTAACCTCAAGGTTATCAGTTTGAAATTACCAGTGATTCCATGGGAAAAAGATCAGGCTTTCTGCTGCCATAAAGATTTACAGCCGCAGAAAACCTATACAGACTCCCTATGAGTCAGAACTGACTCCAAGGCACAAAACCGCCACCACCACCATAAAACTCATGCATTTATAACTTTTGATCTTAAGGGACTAGAGTAACAATATTTTTTCACTGAATTATGAGTGATTCCATTTATGACCATTTGAATTGAAAAGAAAGCAATCCCTTATTTTATTACAAATTGAAACTTAGCACTAGAGTAAAGGGTGAAAATAACTATACTTGCGGAATTTACATTAATTTATGATTACAAAATATGTTTAATGCACTTGAGAATTGAACACATACTTAAAGAAGTTACAACTCAAGTAGATTATAATAAGTGAGGGTGAGAGATGATTTTCTGCATCACTGGGTAATTACTTCTTCCCTGGTTAAAACTGATGGAATGCAGGCGCAATAGGCATGCGGCTGGTGATACAATTTCTGTACCAAAACATAAAGAAAGAGAACAATGTACACAGTTCTTTAGTTGGTGTTTACTATACTTGTTGCTTCTCTTCTCTTAAAGTTTCCTTTTGTTATTTAAATTACATCTTTAT